CGGGCCCACCGCTCAGCACTCCAGGAACAACAGCCAGACCCGTAAATCCACCCGATGTTCCCGCGTCAAGTGAACAAAAGGTCTAGGAAAATGCACCCCCGAGGTCACCGCCGACAAAACACCCGACTCATAGGAATGATACAACAGGCAAAGTTCAACTTCACTGAATCTGTTGCCGGTGGCAGGCATCCACCGCCGTAGCCCGCAGGGCCTCTAGCTTGTCCTGCGTCTACCGACACTCCATCTCCACCATGTCTATCAAAATCCCCAAAAACACAGTGCTGTCGCTGGTCCCTCAGTTTTGTTGGCAGCCAGCGGGACCCCAAAGCGTTCTGCCACGTGTTGCAAAGTAGCCAGAAGCAATCCACAGACCCTGGTGGCCCCACACACAAGAAGCCGTCCAAGTAATGAATAATGGACTCAACCCCCGAGACCTCGCGAACTACCCATTCCAGAAAAGTACTGAAAGTCTTGAAAAACGCACAAGAAATGGAGCACCCCATAGGCAAGCAACGATCCACGAAACCCCCCTCCCAGTGACAACCCAACAGACGAAAACTGCGCGGATGAACTGGCAACAGGCGAAAGGCGGCCTCCACGTCCCACTTAGCCAACAAGGACCCCTTACCATACCTGCGAACCCAAGAGATAGTCGCGTCAAATGATGTATACGACACCGCACAAGCCGCATTAACGGAGCCCCCCAGCGGGTAGGAGAGGTGGTGAATCAAACGAAACTTCCCAGGTTCCTTCTTGAGGGCAACACCAAGTCTGGTCTAGGGGGGAGAGAAAAAGGACCAACCATACGGCCCAAGGCCACCTCCCTCCTGAGTTTGTCAGAAACCACCAAAGGCTACCGAAGAGCCGAATGCAAATTCTTAGCCAACGGGGGAACGCTAGACAAGGAACAATGAATAAGAAAACCGTCCATAAATCTCACCTTCCAAAAGCCCCGCCGCCCGCCAATCCGGATATCTATTTAAGAAAGGACGCATCCTTTCCACCCTCACCGGAGTCGTCCCTCTTACCAGCATTACCCCCGGCACGTCCCTTACCAGTCTTGAATCACCGGGATTGAGGGTGGGAACTAAGCTCAGGCCGGACGGCTTTTCGCTGGCGAAATTGTGAATCGTAGCGAAGCCACCCCACCCCACCGTAAACCTAATACGCCTAACCACTTCTAAATAACAAAATAAAGCCGAAAAATTATTCGGCGCCCGCTCCCCAATTGCACTCACCAAAATCGCGAACGCCTGCAACTAATTACTAAAAGTACGCGGGATCAACCGATACCTACGCTTTTCCTCCGCCTCCTTTTTAGACTCGTCTGGCTTAACTCGATCCAGGTTAAACTTCTCCAGTGGCAACAAGGAAACGAGCTCCACAGTCACCTTTCCAAATCCGTTCCTTCACCTCCGGCTTCAAGTGGGCCCCCAAAGGACCCTCAAAGCAAACATACACCTCACATTTGGCCGCATCCGCCAGGCGCACCCGATCGGCCTCCTTGTCAACCACCGCCATTGCCCCAGCCAGCCAAGGCGCGACAAGAGAAGGGCCCCCACCAACCCCACCCT